TCTTCTAAGGACAAACTTCCTCAGTTTATACATAGTTTCATTTTTCTTGGCCATCTGAGTATTTTATGAATCTTTTGTAGCATGGTAAATATGTAAGCATAGTTAACTGGCAGTAGTCTAAGCTTCCTAACTCCTAAATCCTGAGTCAGAATTAAATTGGCCTAACTCATCTTTTGTCCTCATTAGAACAGGCTGCTAGTGAACTCTCATCAGATCAGTCATGACAAGAAGATTGAGAAAACCAAATCATGGGTTCCTCTGGTTACCATATACTCTAAAATATGAATTGTACTCATAGTTGCATTTTCAGAAGAATGAGTAGGGGAATTTTCCTAAACCAGGTGATTCCTGTAGGAATGTGATGGGACAAAAAGTTGAGAAGTCCACACAGGTTAATGCTCTTTCCCACAGTGTTAAGATTACAATAATGATTACTCCTGTAATCTTCTGTAGGGTAAATGATTTTCAGGCTTTTCGGCCCTCCTGCCATTAGGATCGTCCTGCCTGAGGGGGCACCTGTGTTTGTTACATTGCTATAAGTTGTGTTGTTTACTTTTGTGGGCCATGGGTGCAGTGTTGAGATATTGGGGAGAGAAGCAGAAGCAGAAGCAGAAGAGAGACAGGAGAGAGAAGGGGAGAAAGAAAGCCAGAGAAGACCAGAGTGAAGACTTGCTGGGGCTTAAAGGCCTGCCACCCTCCTGCCCCCACCCCTGCTGCCTGCCGTGCACCTGATTGCTGCACTACACGTAAAAGCTCAATAAAAGCCTGAGAAAGCCATCAAGGGCTTCAGGACTGTCCTTTACCTGGTCTGCCAAATCACAGAAAACCTGCTCTGTGCCCTTCCTGCCACTACCTCTTCCCACAGAGCATCCTTAACCACCAGATACATCAATATCATTGGATCTTCCAGGTCAGATGGCCTGAATGGCAGGGGAGCTTACACTGCAGTCTAGACCTGTGCAGAGCCCATCTTTGCACTGTGCCCCACTCAAAGTTGGCAGTGTTCTGAATCACCAGATTAGTGAGTGGGTCAGAACAGCCTTCCCAATTGCTGGGAAGTGATTATTACCCTACTTATTCAAGAAATGATTCTGAAAGCCAGAACAGATAAGTGAAACAGGGGGGAAAAAGCCCAGTGCAAGCAGGGATTCTTGACTTTCAGATCATTTTAGTAACTCTCTTGCTGGACTAGGAAGCTCCTGTGACATATTGTTAAATGAAACAAAAATAAATTTCAAATGCATTTATGCTTTCAACAAATATTTATTGAGTAACTATTATGTGGCCTATTACATGCCAGGTGTTGCTACATGCTGAGATATAGTGGTAAATAAGTCCAACATGGGTGCATTTTATAATGAGTTTTCAGTTAAACATTAATTTATCATTAATGATTACATACATTTCTACATTCCTATGGAATGTACATCATAGCTATACATTAGTTTCCAATTTAGAAAATTTCTCCCCAATTACTTATTTAATGAACACTTTATGTGGGGCTTAATAAGTAGCAGCACTACCCTAAGCATCTCATAGGTATGAACTTACTTAAGTTTTATAGCAACCACAGATGTGTATTGTTATTATCACCCACATTTTACAGTTGTGGAAACTGGGGCACAGGGTAATTAGTAACTTGGCCAAGTTTATACAGTTAGTAAGAAGCAGAGCTGGGGGTGGACTCTAGGCAGTTCATGCTCTTAACCACCACTTTTACAAACTCCTGACACTAAGACTAATTCTACCTGATCCCTTATCCTTAGGGGATGGGGCCTAACTCCATGATCTTAACCCATAGCCTCAAGCATACAATGTGGGTATACAGACACAGATAAACACACTGTGTTCTTGAGGACCTGGACCTGGATATACACAGTACCAGCAACAATAGCAGTAGCAGCAGCAGCAGCAGCAGCAGCAAATATCTTTTTATTGGTGTGTTATTTTTATTATTTTTTTTGAAAAGATTTATTTATTTATGCATATGTAAGGGCAGGACTGGCCACAGTGCAGGTTTTCTGATCCCATGCAGACCGGGTAAAGGAGCAGTCAGAGTCCTCAGTGGTTTTTTGCAGGTCTTTTATTGGGGTTCACCAGGCATATGGCAGGCAGGGGTGATGGGGGGCCGGGAGGCTGGCAGGCCTCCCAGCCCCCAGCAAATCCTTACTCTATCTGGGCTCTCTGGTGATCTCGGCTTCTCTTCGGCTTCTGCTGCTGCTTTCTCAGCTTTTTCTGGCGTCCCTGTGACGCCGCCCTTAAAAGCACAGTCTTAGCGCAGGTGTACCCACTTCAGGTGCCCGCCATCAGGCATGCATTCAGGACCACAGGGTTCCCTCATCTTTCCTGATAGCGGGAGGGCAGAAAAGCCTGATACCTTTTACCTTACCCTACAGCATACAAGAACTGGGGTACAAGCCAGAGATATGCGGGGTGAGAGGATTTACCAGAGACTGAGCAGGAACAGAACAGGCAGATTGACTGAAAAGTACACTGCTGAGGGGAGCAGCGGGCGAGTCAGGAGAGGTCTGCTCACCATGTGGGTTGCTCCCGGGCCAGGGATACAACTCATGCTGCAGTGGCTGCGGACAGCTTCATAGGTAGCGTCTTAACCCCTTGTACCACCAGGGAGGACCTAATTTATTATTTAGTTTACACTAAAGGCACAGGTACAAAATCATTAAAACAGAAGACAAAGAAGGTAGAATGGGAGTGGGGGAGGCAGTAGATGTTTACATCAGAAAACCTAGACTGAGGGAAACTTGCTAATCAGCTCAAAACTGAATTCTGAGGTTCTTTAAACCAAGGCTGAAAAGGAAAATATGATGGGTTTCATGACTTTTGTTCCCTGACTGAAGGAAGAGCCTTGACCATAGAAAGGACCACAGCTGCTCATTTCCGAGGCGGGGTTAGGAGGTGGTGTTATGGCTTCAGTTGTTACTTCTTAGCCTTATGGTGCTGCCCAGTAGTTTTACATTAATCATCTATTGGATTTCTAATTATTGTATTTTGCTTTGGTGGTTTTTTTGGCTTTGTTTTGTTTTTATTTTTTCCCCAGTATTTCCTAGTTCTGTGCCACTTGAAATTGTATTTCATTGTGCCAGTCAATCAGATGAAAATATTCACTGAATTTAGCACCCACTGTGTGGAGGTTAGGGGAAGAAGATATACAGAAAACAAGATTCTTGTCTCTAACAATGCTTATAATTCAAGAGGAGGGTGAAATATACTCTCTGAATTATTGTTGAAAAACAAATGTTTTTAAAATAATATGCCAAAAATAAAAGTTAATATTGGGTGATCCCAAAGCATCCAAGGAACACTGGTCAGTCATGTTAGACTATCTCAAGGATGTGGATTTTGATCCTGGATTTAAACAAAGGGTCTGGGACTGGTAGGGTAGAAGGGTATCCAAAGCTAGCCATGAAAGACAGAAGGAGATCAATTGTAGGAAAGGGTGGAAGTAGTCAGGTAGATGTGTCTTTGAAGGATGGTATCAAGAAATAAGAAAAAATGGGGCTCTTTGTGTTCCTTGAGGGACTCCATCAAGAAGAGCCTAGTCGAGTTCCCTGGAGGTGCACCCATTTTATGCCATACACATTTTATAACAGGGTGGTCCCCAGGAAAGGGGGAGGTTCCAGGTTTCCTGCCTCACCCAAGGGAGGATGGAGCTGAGCAGGGAGAGAAGAAGCTGCAGAGAAGACTGAAGAAGGATGGAAGCAAGATGGAGAGCCAGAAGGAGACCTAGAGGAGGCACATGTTGCCGAGAGACACGTGAAGAAACTGCACTTGCCTTTTGGTCCTGGACTGGTTGAAACAGATGTGGGTGAGAGGCCACCTCCAGGGGAAATGACAATGGCGGGTTTTGTCTTGATTATGATTTTGCTCTTTTCCTTCCAGACTTGTCTGGTTGTTTCTGATCCTTTTCTGTAGGTCCCCACTGGAAGATGCTTTAGATTTGTGACTTGCTTTGGGGCCTTATTCTGGGCCAATCCTGCTTGGGTGGACTTTTACCCAGGAGGGGATTGGTAACTTTGGGTGCTTGATTTAGAATCTATATTCTTTGCCTTTCCTGTATTGTTTCCTAATTGTATTAAAGTTCCTTCCCCATTAAAATCTCATATGTTTTGTGTTGATGCTGTGAATGGCAGAACCTATTTAGAGCAGACAGATTTGCCGTGTCTGGGCTGCCCCTCTCCCTGCCCTGTAACAGTTTCTTGAAAATATAAAGCAATAGTCAAAAGTTAGTTACTGTGTATCAGGCATTGAGCTTTAGTCTTCCATGTACTCTGTAAAGTGGACACTATTATTTCCATTTTGCTCACAAGGATACAGATTCATGAGTTAGGTTAGGTAGCTTCTGCGCTTAATGTCATCTAGCTATTCAAGATTTGAAACCCTGAATGTCAATCGATTTGTCTTGACCACGAAACCCAATCTTTTGTGTGCCACAAACATTCTGTAAGTTGTCTATTTAAGATACAAAGAGGTGATGATCACTTGAGTAAGTTCTACAGATTTCCTTTGTGAGAAAAGTTATCTATAGACAATTTTTTTGCAAAAGTCTAAAATAGAGGGTAAGAATTTTTTTTAACTGAGTGCATGATTTTAGTTAATTTCATTAAACATCCATCACGATGCCCCCTTGACAACAGACAATAACACCGAAAATATCCTTAATAAAGTTTTTAGGTCACTCCATGCATTGGGTGGATAATCTTGCAAAGCAATGACAGGGACAAACCACCCTATCCAGGTAGAAACTTAAGTTTCCCCAAAAGTCCAGGCTATGGAGACCTGGAAAAGAGTAACTGCCCAAACTAAAAGGAGGGCTGTGGGAGAGACACGAAGGCTGGTTCCGCGAAGGGGGAACAGGGTGCTGCCCGGGGCCGCCGCAGCGGGAGCGCCGAGGCCCGCGCGGGATCCCGGCCCCCGCCCGCCCGGGTGTGGCTGCGGCGCCCGGGCCGCGCCGGGGTGTGCGCATGCGCGCGGGGCGCGGCGGCTACGCGGACAAAACCGCCTCCACGGGGCCGCGTCGCTCCCGGCTCCTCAGCTCCCCGCCCCTCCTTCCCGCGGCGCTCGAGGGACCATGGCCGATCCCCGCGTGAGGCAGATCAAGATCAAAACCGGCGTGGTGAAGCGGTAAGGAGCTGCGAACGGCGCAGCCGCGAGCGCCGCCTCTCCTCGCCGCTCGGCGGCCCGAGAGCCCCGGCGGAGCGCAGGCCCGAGGCGGCGCCGGGCCCTGGCCTCGTCTGGGCTCCGCGGCGGGGCGCGCGGGCCGGGGCGCGCCTTTCCCGCTGCCTCTCGCCTCACGCCCCGGCCCGTGGAGCGGCGGGGATCGGCCGGGGCCTGCCGCCCGCGCGCCCGCGGCCCGGGAGCCGGAGGGGCTGCGGCCGGGCGGGGGAGGCTGGGCCGGCGCTGGCGGGGCCTCCCGTGCGCGCGCGGCCACTCGCCCTGCGGGCCTGCCTGCTGGGGAGGCGGCGCGGCCCGTTCCCTGGCCTCGGCTGGACGCGCAGCCCGGCTCCGCAGTTTAGGGCAGACGTCCAGAGCCGGGCCTTGGGCAGAGGGGAGGCCCTGCTGGAGCCTTGTGAGCAGACAGGGCAGGCCGGACTCGCGGGCTGAATTGGCGGGGCGTGAACTTGAGCACACTCCTCAAACTTGGGTGGCCTGACTCGCCAGGCGACGTTCCCGAGCTCGCTCCAGAGGCTGGGGATGCAGTTTCAGTAGCTATCCTGGAATTGGGCCTAATGCCTGGCTCGTTAGACTCTCCAGTGCTTATTAGAACTTTATTGAACAGACACAAGAAGATTAAACTTTCCGATGAGGCATTTCACGAGAAAAGAGAAGCAGCTTTATGAAGTAGTCGGGTTTTTGTTGTTGGGTTGTTTGTTTGTTTGTTTGCTTTGTTTTTTTTTTTGCAGTAGGAATGTCTGATTTCCAGCCTGCTGACTTCTTCCTTTCTTTCCTTTACTATTTCCACCATGAGAAAGCACAAGGCAAAGGGGAGAGTAAATTCGCTTTTAAAGATAGTGCATCCGAGTCTTGGCACATCACACACTGTCCTGCCCTAGAAGCTTTATTATTGCGAAAATATCCTTAATGCAGTTAAGGTAGTAAGGTAGTAAGGAGAGAATATGAGTAGTTGTGAAATGTACATACAGTCTCTTCTGAAGTGATACTGCTTGGGTTCAAATCTTGACTGCCATTTGTTATATGTTGAATATAACATTGCAAAGTGCCTCAGTTTATCCATTTGTAAAATGAACTAGGTACCCACTTCATGAAGTTGCTGTGGTTAATGCTAAGTTTAAGACAGTGTGTAGCCAGTGTGAGTGGCTAAATGTTAAATAATAATATTGTATTTTTATTTTACAGACTGAGAAAATGAAGCTTAATAAAGTTAGAAAAACTAAATTTGTCTAAGGTCACAGTGCTAGCTAGTGGTATGGAAAGCAAGGAGATCAAGGAAGAGAACCAAGGTTCCTAATCTGTAACTTTCTATTTTAAGCTACAACGCTCCAAAAAAAAGGGAGTGTTTTTAAAAATGTCTAGTATAGGAGGGAAACAGATGTATAAAAAGAGTGTTTTTAAAAATGTCTGGTATAGGAGGGAAATTGAGATGTGTAATTGAATATATAAGCAATCTGCACCATCACTTTTCACAGCTATGTTTTCACTTTTGCTAGGCTTGCTTTGGTTATGTCATTTTAGTAAATCTACTTTTGGCAGAAGTACCAGGATATAATGGAGAGTACTTTAGTTATGAGAAATGACTTCTTATGGTAGTTTCCCATTAATTATCTATATAACCTTGTCATTTGTCATCCTTATGATCGATATTAGTTTATAACATTACTCAGGTCAAGTGCTATATGCTTATATGTATTCTAAACACACTCATTTAGATAGTTAATAAGCTGAGTGTTTAGGTTTTCAAAAATTCCCAAGTAATCATGAGAATTAATACTTGGAACTAAAGTTTTGTTCTAAGTTTATTTCCAATAATAGAGCATTATCAGATTTTAATTCTTCACTAATTTCATCAATTTTGTAAAACCCCTTCATAATTTACAACTCAAAATGATAAGTTAGTGGAAATATCTACATTTTTTTTCATGACTTTTCTATTGACATTTTGGTGTGGAGCTTCCCCATAATATACTAAAATGAGATTTTTTTTTAAAACCTAATTTTAATTTTAGTTGTTTATTACTTATATTTTGTCTTACTAGAAACTCATCTGTATTCATAAATATTGTCCCCTACTCTTTTCCTCCAGAGGATGGGAATGCTATTTGAATAGCTATCGTGCAGTCATAATTTTTGACTTCTGTTAGATACTCCAGTGCATATTACATTATTGTTCAGACACAAGAAGATCAAACTTTGATAAGGCAATTCATGAGAAAAGATAAACAGCTTTATGAAGAAGCAGGTTATTTTGCAGTAGAAATGTCTGATCTAACCAACTGGTTTCTTCACCTTTACCTACCTTTCTTTCTTTTTTTTTTTTTTAATGAATTCTTTTTTTTTTTTTTTTTTAATTTATTTGTTTGTTTATACGTGCACTGGGTACAGTCAGAAGCGCGGGAGGGTGAGAGAATTCACCAGAGCCAGAGCGGGGAGCAGAGCAGGCAGGGGGCCCGAGGCACACTGCTGTGGGGAGCAGCGGGAGGCAGGAGAGGTCTGCGCGCCATGTGGGACCCTCCTCCGGTGGCCGGGGAGCAGCCGGGGATCGAACCGGCGCTGCAGAGGCCGCGGTCAGCATCGCAACCCAGCGCTCAACCGCTGCGCCACCGGGGAGGCCCCCTTTCCTTTCTTTATTATTATTCCCACCAGAAGAAAGAACAAGCCAAAGGGGACAATAAGCTATTTTCTACTGAAATTACTATGACTTTCCATCTTCTGTTTAAATATCCTATTTTTAAAAATCTTCATTTTTTACCTCAGCAGAGGAAAAACATGGATATGGCAGATACAGTAGTATAATAATTGTTGGTACTGAATGATTATGGGACTTCATTATATTCTCTCTGTTTTAAATTTTTCATCATAAAAGGTTGTATAAAATGCATTTTTGTCCTCCAAATTTAATTTCAAAGACTTCTTCATTAATTTCATAGTTTGGGCATGTTTTTGGTTTCATGAATGGAATTCTGTTCATTAGTTTCTAAAAGCATTGGTCTAAAAGTCAGTTTCTGTTCTCAGCACCTTTTTTCTAGTCAGGTGCTCATTTCTCATAGTCTTATTTCTCTTCAGAAGTTACAACTTTTATTTGGAAGAAGAGATTTAAAGTCATCATTCATGCCCCCAGTTCCTTCAGTTTCTCTTCAGGAATCAAGAACTACTAGAAATATAGTCGAGGTATTGGGTCCTACAGTTCAATTTAGGCAGACTATATTGGGGGTGGTGTGACTTTTAGAGTTTAGTGTTTAATCAAATCTGATAGGATACTCAGTGATCCAAAACTTTCCTGTAGTAGGTTTTAGGAAGAAATCTTGACAGGCAGAACAATTGCTATGAGACAATGAGACACATTTAAACAAAGGCTTGCTCCAAGAAATTTAGAAGAAGAGAGATTTCTTCTAATCTCTCTCCAAGAGAGATTAGAAGAAAGCAATAAATAAATGGTGGTATTTACATCATCAAATGAGTGAAAGAGTGTCACCATGTTGGCAAAATGGTGAAGGCTATCTAACGGATGACAGTCATAACAGAAAGTAGAATCAAAATTCAGACACATTATTTTATGCCCTAGAAAAATTGGCAGAAGCCTCCCAGGCCCCTAGTCCTAGAAACTTTGTTACCTCACATGGTAACAAGGCAATTTGTCTGATTTAGTTATGCATTTCAAGACAGGGGTTAGGTCCTTAGAGACAAGGGAAGGGTATAGTTACTAGGAATGACTTGTGAGAGTTGGACAGCAAAGAGACTGCCTTGGTAGTAAGCCTCTGACTCCTCAGATTCCTTAAATATCCCCTTTCGAGCAACAGGAATGTTTGCCAGGATTGATCCATCTGTGAAACTAGAGAGAATTTTGCACTGTATGAATTACGATACTAAATTTCTTGGAGCAAGCCTTTGTTTAAATGTATCTCATTGGTGGTGGGTATTACTTGGTAGTATGGGCCTGTCAGTCCTTTTTTAAAGACTTGGATCTATCATCCAGGCAGATTGCCAGACCAACTGATAGCTTTAACTGGGTCCCAGCTAATGTGGCAAATGTACGAGGAAGTTACCAAATATTACTCCACTTTTCTTTTTTTCCAGTGCAAAATTATAAATCCTTTTTTATTTATTTTATATTTTGCTTATTTTTTATTTTATTCATTTTGATATCTAGGTGTATCAGTGGTTCCAGTTCACCTGGGGTTGAATGGTTTCCTGAGATGTGGAACCTTCATTCTAAAACTGGGACAGTCCCAAGTAAACCAGAATGATTAATTAATACCTCTTCTGTAACTAGCTAACACAGCATTGTTTTGTTTGTGCTGTGATTTATTAGGAGATAATTTGCAGATAACACAACTGTGTTTTGGATGTTGTACCTAACTTAAAACTTTTGTTTTCTGTAAATATGAATCCTTGCCAAAGTAGCTTGTTTTCTGTATTAATTTAAATTGTCAGTAATTTAGAATAATTTTCATTAAAGTAGAAGGAAATCAAGGATTGATGTTTTAAATGTTGACATGGTATTTCAGCTAAATGATATATGTACATCATAAATTTCCAAGTAGGATTTGCATTGTTATTTAAACTAGATTTTTGGTAAGTTCAAGAAATTCTTTTGCAAGAACAAAATGTTTTCATCTATTTAACCTGAAAAGTTACTTAACTTTAAAGCCAGCTTACTTTTAATAAAGCCTGCTAAACTAGCCCACTGGTGAGTAATTGATTAAAAATACTTTCTTAAATATATCTTTTTATAGCCATTTTAGAGTGGTAATGGCTTAAAATCCAATGTGAACAAAGAATGTTCGGGCATTGGAAATAGCACTGACATTGGCCCATAGTTTTCCTCTGATTAAATGAAAGTGACACCAGTAGATTAGAATGAGACTAGGACAATTCACACTGCAATTGTGTTAGTTTAACTTTAACAATCTTTTAACACTCTTGTTTAAATGTAGCTGACATACCATAATTACAAATCTACAAGCCTTGATTATAGAATTTTACATCATGAATCTGTGGGGAAATTGTATTGATTTTTTTTTTTTTTTTTATAAAGCAAGCACCTTTCCCAAACTAAGGAATCGTCCCACATTTGTTTATACCTGTACCTCTGATATACAACTATGTATGACTTATGTACTAGGCAGAGCAGGTATAAAAATGATATAAAAGGTAAGTAAAATATCCATGTTATTAATTAAATACAAATGTTCATATATATGTGTTGTATTGAACATATGTACTGGTTATGTGACGTAAAAGTGAAAAATATTAATGCATACTTACATAAACATAGAAATATAGTTCCCCGCCTTTAGTTTTAACTATTTATGCACTTCCAATATTTAAAATGATGGATAGAAGTATAGTGGGCAATGTCTGGGACAGGTTAATGACATAGCCCTACAAATTATTCCTGTAAGCTTTAGTAGTTTTATCTTATTTTCTTCTCTTCTCCCACATATACCTCTTTGATTTGAATTAAAGTAAGTTCAGCCAAAATGGCAGTGTTCTACCTTGAAATTTAGCTAACATCTTTTGGAATTTCTGCAGTATACCTATTTCTCTGAAGTGATGGTGAAGGGCAGTGTTAACATTCATTAGGTAGTCAGGTCTTCACCTTTCATAATGCTGCAAAGGAAAAAAGCAAAGGCCTCTCATTTTCTAGTCATAAGTCCATGGTTTTCCCAAACCAAGCTGTGGTATTCTGCAAGTTAAATGTGGAAATGAAAGATATTTTTTCCCCTTTTTTGTTTGTATAGATGGCATGTTCACCGCATAAGCAATGTTGGTAATTTTTGTTAATATAGTCTAGAAATGTTCAGGTATGTGATCTGCTCCAGTATTCCATTTCCAATAATAAATTTATAGAATAACAATTATAGAAGATGCTGTTTTTATGTGCTCAAATAGAACTGATATTTTTTTTTATTTTTTTTTTAATAGAGGCATGTTTATTTATTTATTTGTTTGTTTGTTTGTTTGTTTGTTTATACAAGCACTGGGTACAGTCAGAAGCACGGGAGGGTGACAGAATTCACCAGAGCCAGAGCCGGGAGCAGAGCAGGCAGAAGGACCGAAGTACACTGCTGAGGGGAGCAGCGGGCGGCAGGAGAGGTCTGTGCGCCATGTGGGACCCTCCTCCGGTGGCCGGGGAGCAGTCGGGGATCGAACCGGCGCCACAGAGGTCGCGGGCAGCTTCGCAACCCAGCGCTCAACCGCTGCGCCACCGGGGAGGCCCTAGAACTGATATTTTATTTTTTATTTTTTATTTTTTCATGTTTTTTTTTTTTTTTTTTTTTTTTTTTTTTTGTATTTGTAATGACCAAAGCAAAACATTTAAAATCGCAGCTTCTGGAAGAACCATTTGTTCTTGCCAGTCTTGTACCTCTCCTCAAATTTGACCTTGGCCTCTCGTCGGGCCTTGCATTTAAGAGCAGGATCTCTGAAGACATCCTTGTTGACAACAGTTTTGTCCAAGGGGATATCCACAGAGTACCTGGTGGGCATGAGGTGATTGTAGTTATACACTTTCACAAAAGACTTGATCTTTGACCTTTTGGCAATTTTCTTCTTGCCCATGGCAGCTGTCACTTTGCGGGGATAGCGATCAATTCCAGCCACCAGAGCGTGGCTGTAAGGGCGGTCTGCGGTGCCATCATCAATGTTCTTCACAATGACCGCTTTGCGTCCGGAGTAGTGTCCGGCCAAGACCAGCACCACCTTCCCGGGTTTCATGAACTTGCCCATTTCAGCAGCAACCACTCGGGCCTACAGCAAAAAAATAGAACTGATATTTTAATAATAACATATCTGATTTATCCAAAGATCACCTATTATTAGCCTCACTCACAGCCTATATCTTTGAATCATCTGGTATAGTGTTAGTACATAATACTCAACAGAAGTCTTTCAAGTGAGCAAATAAATTAATGAAACCTTTCTTTATAATTTTTTTTACCAATAAGCAATAAGAAACCACTAATTAATTCTAATATTATAGCATAATAGTTACTATAGTGACTTATTCTTACTGTTGGAGTTTAATAGATGGACTCCCAAGCTCCATTTACTACATACTACATACGTGTGACCATGAACAAGTTACTTAACCTTTAAAATTCCCAATTTTCTTAGCTAAAAAATAGGTTAGGGGCCTCCCTGGTGGCACGCGGGGTTAAGCACAGCACTGTGTAAAGCTATCCGCAGGCTCTCTCACCTGCTGCTCCCCTCAGCAGTGTATTTCAGTGGATCTGCCTGTTCTGCTCCCCACTCTGTCTCTGGTGGATCCTCTCACCCCCACACCTCTGGCCTGCACCCCAGCTTTTATATGCATAAATAAATCTTTTTAAAAAAATTAAAAAAATAGATTAATGATAGGTTATTTCTTTCTTGTATTGTTCTTAGGAGAGTTGGAAAAGATAATCCTATGAAGCCCTTAACCCAAATGTCTGATAGGTAGTAAATGTTCAAAGTTTGTTTATTTACTGCTATTATCATTGTCTTAGTCATCATCATCACCATCACTATCATTCTTTAGAGGTATAAACGCTGTGGAGAGAGGACATAGGATGAGTGTTTACTGATCCCGAGAAGAGATAACTGAAACTTGCTTTGTTTTTAATTGTGACAAAAGCTAGCTTTTTAGTTGTCTTGTTCACTAGTTAACTGGAGGAGAAGGGAAGGACATGAAGCTTGTGTTTTTGAGTAATTTCTAGGACTTTGTAATGGCTATCAGTTTCTATAAACTACTTCAAACCCCAACAACAACAACAAAATCTTTGTTTATATCAGTGACCTTTGTATTTTTAGCACCTTAAATGTTGTGTCATTATCATTAATACAATGTGCCAAGGTCCGTTTGACTCTATTGTACTTCCATAAAATTTATTGTAGAAGGTAGTCAAATGGGTAAATATTTGAGAGCTTTTGTTCTAAAATTAATGAGTGATTCACCCCAACTGTCAGAAGACATTCCTACAATTATAATGCTATATTATAGTTATTTCCAAATTCTCCATAGTATTTTGTTTTTAACCAAGTTCTGTCTTTGTTATTGTTGTTGAGATCCTTTTACCTGTATATTTTACCTGTAACCTGTATATTTTACCTGTATCCTTTTTACCTGTGTACTCTATTTTTTATCTGTATACTCTATTTTTTAAGTTTTTTAATTGATTTATGCATATAAGGACGGGTGTAGGCCAGAGGTGCAGGGGGGTGAGAGGATTCACCAGAGACAGAGTGGGGAACAGAACAGGCAGACTGACTGAAATACACTGCTAGAGGAGCAGGAGGGGAGACAGGAGAGGTCTGCTATGCCATATGTGGGTTATGCAACCCAGCCAGGGATCAAGTGCTGCAGTGGCTGGTGATAGCTTGATAGCACTGAGACTTAACCCCTGCACCATCAGAGGCTCCAGTATCTATATACTCTTTAACTCAGGGTTTATTTTTCTATAAAAGTTTTTGGAATAAGTTGGCATCTACTTATTTTTTCACGGAACAATTCATAGTTTCTGAATAGTACAAAGTGGCAGGCTTTTAATATGGCATCAAATTGCCTGAAATACATCTGTATTCTATGAAACTTTTAAAGACCTGTAAGTCTACTAAAGTGTGTTTCAGCTCAGGTTACTACTACAATAGATTGTTGCTCTGTTAAGTTGTAAAGATTCTGCATTATATCCAGATATTTGAAATTTTTCTTAAACAAAGCAGTTCTTCTCATCTTTTTAAGTACCAGAGGGATGATATATAATACAGTGATTTTCACAAAACAGGCATTTAATACATATTTTCAGTTGAGTCAAGGAATGAAAGAAACTAGAAAATATTTCAGTTATATGGAAGGGATAGCTCAAGATCTGGAAATAGAAGTTTGGTTTATGACTGAACTTTGAAGACTGAAATGGAGAAAGTTTGATGAAATACTCTAGTTAGTTAAATATCAAAAGAGCAACAGAATAACTGTAAGTAATCACAATGCTCAGTTAAAGACTTTTTTTAGGTAATATTAACAAAATTAAAAGATAAGAAAATACATTTATATCAACAATTTGATTATTAAACTTCAATGAAAATGTTTCATAGTTTACTTAGAATTAACCAGACTATCTCCCTTTGATTCTAATTTAATAGAGGGTGTATGTGTACGTATCTGCCTGTAATTAAGTTACTTATATAAGTAGGTACACTCATTGCAGATTGTTTTTTAAAGCCTAAGAAAAATAGTGGGATATAGGTTTAGTTGAAAGCTCATGCAGTAAGCAATACTGCAGGGAATCTAAAATAACAAAGTCCAGGGTCCACTCCTTAAAAAAAAAAAAATTGCACTCTAAATTATGCCGTGTAAATAGATGTATCTGAATATTCTTAAGAACATAAGATATCATTTTATATAAATTCCCAGTCTCTGCTTTCTTCTGAGCTTTGCATTTATTTTAAAGTATTGAATAAATGTTCGTATTTTAGTATCCTCTGGCTTCAAACTGCATCTGTCACCAAACTAATTAGCTTCTCAAAGTTTATCCTTTTCATGTTTCGTTATTAAAAAAGGAAATAATTTCATGTATGAAAAACTCTAGAGAAAGCACAATAAACCTGAAATAATCATTTTAAGCATATTTGAAATATCCCTTTCTGAGCCTGTTCTTCTCCCTCTGCCTATAAGTAATTATTCTGAATTTGATCTTTATCATTTCATGTATATTTTTAAACTTTAAATTTGTGTGTAATTATACATAACCTTTATTATAGTATTGTTCTGCGTACTTAACTTTATATAACATTCAATATATATGGAAGGATACACAGAAACTGATTACATTGGTTGTCTGCTGGGAGAGAAGCTAGAGGACAGGGACAGAGGAAATTCTTACAATTTTGAATCATGTATTACCTATCAAAATACAAATTAAATATTTAAAAATTGTAATAGTGTATTAGAATCCATAACTTTCTTCCTGTGCACATTTTTGATTAGTGTGTTTCAACTTGAAATATAAAGCTCTAATTTATTCTCATGTGGGAATGCAGGAGTTTTGTTCTTGTTTTTCATTTTTTTTTAAAGATTATTTATGCAGGACCTCTCCGGTGATGCAGCAGGTTGAGCACAGCACTCTAAGCTGTCCGCAGCCTCTGCAGTGCGGGTTTGATTCCCTCCCGGCTGGCCAGGGAGAAACCCACATGGCACATGGCACAGCAGACCTCTCCTGCCCTGCCCGCTGCTGCCCTCAGCGGTATCTTTGGTCCCTTTGCCTGTTCTGCTCCCTGCTCTGTGTCTGGTGAATTCTCTCACCCTCCTGCACCTCGGGCTTGTACCCTAGTTCTTGTATAAATAAATACATCTTTTAAAAAAAAAGATTATTTATGCATACAAGAGCTGGGGTACAGGCCAGAGGTATGGGGGGTGAGAGGATTCACCAGACACAGAGTAGGGAACAGAACAGGCAGATTGACCAAAGTACACTGCTGAGGGGAGCATTGGGCAAGACAGGAGAGGTCTGCTGTGCCATTTGGGTTGCTCCCAGGCCGGCCGGGGATTGAACTCATGCTGCAGTGGCTGCGGACAGCTTCATAGGTTGCCTCTTAACCCCTTGTGCTACCAGGGAAGCCCCTTGTTTTTCATTTTTATGGATACGATAGATGTTTAGTTTTTTTCTTCCCATCCAGTTTTTCATCTTTACAAATGGTGCTGCTTTGTAGTTTGTTAAATAAAGCTCCTAATGCCACAGTGTATGTCACTGACAGAGTTTCCCAAGGAGTGGACCTTGAATGAATTACAAGTGTGTGGAAATACAGCTCTCCTTAATTTTTAAGATTGCTCTTGTGTAGCCAAGTATAAAACTTTGGGTCTATGGGTGGAAAGTAGGACAAACAGAAAATACAAAGACTTGAAAGAGAGAGCAAGGTTGGCCAGTTGGAAGAGCAGCAACCAGTGAGAGAGGAACAAGGGTAGAAGACACTCAGAAAAGCAGGTGGGAGAGAGTTCAACAGGCCTCTGGTAAGGCCTGTGTGTACCCCCTTGTGCTCAAGTCTGAGATCAGATGTTATCACCTCTGTAAAAGTTTTCTGGCTTTCTTCAAAGTGGGTGGGTGTTCCCAAAGGACTTCATAGCTTTCACCAAGATAGTACTGAAAATACATTATGCTATCAATCCCATTCACTAGACTTTTGGTTTCCAAACTATGGTCTAGGTGCCTCTTAGGAACCTCAAGATGCTTTCAGGGTATCTGAAGAGTCAAAGTTATGTTCATAGTAATGTTAAGACATTATTTACTTCTATTTTCACTTGTTCATAACTTTACAGTGAACTTTTCCAGTGGCTACATAATATGTGTTATTGTTACAGGGCAGGGAGAGGGGCACCCCACACCCTGCAAACCTGCCTGCTCTAAATAGGTTCTGCCATCTGCTGCATCAACACAAAACATATGAGACTTGAATGAAAAGGAACTTTAATACAATTAGGAAACAATACAGGAAAGGCAAAGAATATAGTTTCTAAATCAAGCACCCAAAGTCACCCATCTCCTCATCGGTAAAAGTCCACACAAACGGGATTGGCCCATAGCAAGGCCCGAAAGCCTACCAAGAGTCCAAACCACTTTTCAGTGGGGACCCACAGAAAAGGATCAGAAACAACCAGACAAGTCTGGGAGGAAAAGAGCAAAATCAAAATCAAGACAAAAATCGCCATTGTTATCCTCCCCACGGGTCTCTTACCCACATCTGTGTCAACCAGTCCGTGACCAAAAGGTAAGAGCAGTTTCTTCATGTGTCTCTCTGCTATATGTGCCTCCTCCAGGTCTCTTTTCTCTATTCTTTGCCTTTCCTGTATTGTTTACTAATTGTATTAAAGTTCCTTTCATTAAGTTCTCATGTTTTTGTGTTGATGCAGCAGATGGCAGAACCTTTTTAGAGAACAGGCAGGTTTGCGGGGTCTGGGGTGCCCCTCTCCCTGCCCTGTAACAATATTTTAACAACAAATTGAATGCAGAAGCAGATATGAGAATTCAGATGCTTCTGTTATTCTAGACATTTAAAAGATTTGTATAAAGCAGTGCCATTTTTTCTCACTAATTTTTTTGATTTTGGAAAATATATTCTTCATAAAGTTATTAATAAATACATTTATTTTAAGTGAATTATTAAATACATTTAAATTTTTGAATTCTATTTTAATTTATAGTACAGTAAGTATTAATTTATATAATTCACATAAATGTTCCTTGGGTTTTTGTGATACTGTGATTTATAATAAGAAATATATGCAACGTGAAATAAAAAAGAAATCTGTACATTCTGCCTTCTTCCCCATTCCTGACCTAAAACCCTTGAAATTTCCTAAGTGATAAAGGGCATCTTTTGTTAAGTTAATTAGGTGACTTTTATGCAACCCCTAGATAGTCTAAGAATGGGAGTTAGTGTCCAGGGAAACCAACTAGGGCTGAAAGATTGGATTTTAGTCTTAAACTTGGACCTCCAAGAGAGGAAAGGGACTGGAGGTTGACCAGTGACCAGTGATTGAGTCAATTTTTCCTATGTGGTGAGGCCTCCCTGAAAACCAAAAAGGTTGGCATTTGGAGGATTGGTTTGGTAGACTAGAATGCATCCAAGTGCCCCTGTGCTGAGCTCCAAAATCCACCAGGACAGCAGCTCCTATTTGAGGGCTGATACACTGTATATTAATACATTTCTTCATCTGCCTGGTGATTCAGATCCTTAATGTTCTTTGTCAATGAACCAATAATCTAGTAAGTATGCTCGTCCTGAGTTATGTGAGTCACATTGGGTTATTTTAACCCAAGTGAGGGAATCCTAGAAACCTCTGATTTATAGCCAGTCTATTGAAAGCCCAGGTAACAACCTGGGTTTTTGATTGGCACCTGAAATAGGGACATTTGTGGAACTAAACCCTTAACCTTTAGAATCCAATGTTATCTACAGATAGTGTCAGAATTGAGTAGAGTGGTAGAACACTCAACTGATCTCAGAGAATTGCTTGGTTTGGAAAAGAAGTCCTATAGATCAGGTCTTTGTCAGAATCAGAGTCATAGACACTCAGTAAATTTTAAGACTCTAAATGTGTGTGAAGACCAAAGCACTAGAAAAATAATTCTCAAACTTTATTATATAGAAGAATCAACCTAGGTACTGTTTAAAAATACATTTTCCCAGCATTTTCTACCCTCTACAATTCTAATTCTTCAAGGATTCAGGAATTTATATGCTTTACAAACCTTTGCATAATTCTTTTGTATGTTTTCTTCTAACTGTACTTTGGGAAGCGTTGTACAACTCTTTGAGACTGTTTTATCCATGTTTGTACCTTTAGCACACTGTCTAGTAGGTACTCAACAGTTGAACACTGTATGGGAGTTAGCTGAGGATAGAGTTGAAATCCAGGTGATCTCCAGCAGGATTTTTTTTTTTTTTTTGAATGGAGAATATAAATATAAGTCTTGATTATATGAAAAAAGGAGACAGATTTGAATTGTTTTTATTTATTCTAATGAAAGATGATGGTTTACTTTAATACCTTATTTATAATTTTTTGTGAGTAAAATATTTCATATATATTTTCCCATAGCTGAGATCTCTATAAATGCGTGACCTATTTTTTAAGATACCTTTATGGAAAAATATCCCCAGATATACACTTGGTACATCAGATTACACTAAAGTATTCCATTGATTATTTTTTTAAATTATACACTTTATTTATAGAAAATGTTCTTAAATTATTTTTTTAATTTTTAAATTTTATATATTTCTTATATCATTTTTCATTTTTGTACAACATATGCATTTTCGTCTTGGTTATAGTCCCCATACAATTCCCACCATCTTTGTTTTGATCCTATTCCCTTCTCTCCCTCCTGTAGTGTGTCCCTGGTTTATAGTTGCTTGTTGATTTTGATTTTCACTTTATTAAAATTAGTCTTTTTCCTGGTCCCTTATTTAGGTTTTCTAAATTCCTGCTATGAGTATTTTTTTTTACCACAACCAGGATGAATATTGCTACAAACATTTAAAATGTTGAGGGTCTGATCCTCTGTGTCAGAGGTAGGGAAGAATGCCACCTTCCTTCAGCCCTTTCCCTCACTCAACTCTTTTTGTCCAGTGCAATGGTATTCATTGACTAGGGGGATTGAAGGACAGAGAAGGGATAAGGGAGAGATAACTTTTCTTGCCTTGAAATCCCAAGTTCTCAAGGAATCTATAGTTGCTTCTCTTGTAGCCCCTCTTACCTCCTAGGAAGTAGAGAAGTAACTGCTTCTATGGCAAGGATGCCAATAAGTTAGGAGGCATTCTTGGTATCTAAACTGAAATTCTGATTTTTTCCTTATTATTATCATAGTTATACATGGTTATAACTATGTTTATGTAGTTATACTTAGTATTCTGTAGAAAGTGATTTATGCAGGGCCTCCCTGGTGGCACAAGGGGTTAAGTCTCAGCACTGTGAAGCTACCACCAGCCACTGCAGCACGAGTTTGATCATGGACCAGGGAGCTACCCACATAGTGCTGCAGACCTCTCCTGCCTCACTTGCTGCTCCCCTCAACTGTGTATTTCAGTCAGTCCGCCTGTTCTGTTCCCCACTCTGTCTCTGGTGAATCCTCTCATCCCCCCCATCCCTGCCACCTCTGGCCTATACTCCAGTTCTTGTGTGCATAAATAAATAAAATCTTTTAAAAAAAGTGATTCATGCACCTTTACGTAGTTAAGTAGGGTAAAATAGACATTTTGTGGGACAGATTATGAAGCTTAAACCAACTGTAACATTTTTTCCTGGAGGAAACATACCTGCATGTGGATCTCTACAACCTGGTCATAATAAACATTTATGCAGTGTAACGGAAAACCAGATTGGAGAATGCTTGAATTATATTATGTGATGACTTAGTTTCATGTTTACTTTAGATTTTTTTCTATCTCTTATTTTCAAGTAATGTTGTCAGCCATTAATGTGTCCCTTACTGTTCTTGCTTCTCATAACTTTTACTTAGATCTGTCACTGTTTCTTTTGCTACTTCTAATCTATTTTTGGGGAACTCAGATCATTTTTACTTATATCTGTATAGGCATGTAAAAATTGAAGTTGTTAGAAGTCCACTCTCTGATTTTTTATTTTACTTAGACTAGACTCTCTTTGGCTACCATGGCACTGTATATATATTTTTTAAATATTTTATTTTATATAATTCTTACATCATTTTTCATCTTTGTACAATGTATGCATTTTCTTTTTGGTTATATTCCCCATACAATTGCATCCCCCCCATTTTGACGCTAGTTCTTCCTCTCCCGCCCTCCCTAATCCCCATCCCCCCCCCCCCCCCCCCCCCGTGTGTCTTTGGTTTATAGTTGCTTGTTGATTTTGATTATTACTTTGCATTTATTTTTCTTTGGTTTATAGTTGCTTGTTGATTTTGATTATTTGCATTTCTTTTTCCTGGTCTCTTATTTAGGTTTTCTAAATTCCTGCTATGAGTGAGACCATCCGGTATTTTTCTTTTTCTTTCTGACTTATTTTGCTGAGCATGATCCCTTCTAGCTCCATCCATGTTCCTGCAAACTGCATGTGTTTATCTTTTTTGATTGCTGAGTAATATTCCATGGTATATATGTACTACATCTTCTTGATCCAGTCATCTGTTTTTGGGCATTTGGGTTGTTTGCATATCTTAGCTATTGTAAATAGTGCTGCTATAAACATAGGTGTGCAGGTGCCCTTTGGAATTACTGTTTCTGTGTCCTTTGGGTAAATGCCTAGGAGTGGAATTGCTGGATCATATGGAAGCTCTATGTTTAGTAGGTCAAGAAATCTCCACACAGCTCTCCATAGTGGTTGGACCAGTTTGCACACCCACCAGCAGTGCAGGAGAGTTCCTTTTTCTCCACAACCTCGCCAGCATTTGTTGTTGCTAGTTTTTTTTAATATGTGCCATTCTCACTGGGATAAGATGGTATCATTGTAGTTTTGATTTGCATTTCCCTGATTACAAGTGATGTTGAACATTTTTTCATATGCCTGTTGGCCATTTGCATTTCCTCTTCAGAGAAGTTTCTTTTTAGCTCTTCTGCCCATTTTTTGACTGGATTATTTTCTTTGTTGTTGTTGAGTCTCATCAGCTCTTTGTAGATTTTTTTTTTTTCACTGTGGCATCCAGTTTCTATTCACAAAGAAAAAGCTCCAGTCCATCTTTTAATTTTTTTTGAAAAATTCCTGACATTACAGAACTAAACTGAAATGTATTAATATTCCACTCTTACATTTCCATGACAAACAAACAAAAAAAAATTCATGAGCCAAAAAACAACAAAACCCAAAAAAAACAAAAAACCAGAGAAAAGCTTATAAAACTAAATATGGATCTCAGCATCTCAGCAGTAACAGCTGAACAGAGAAAGGAATTAAAACGCTTTAATTAAAAAATCATGAGTGAATGATAAAGTGTGTAGAAACTGAAAATTTATAAACTATTTAAAACCTGGAATCGCTGACTGTTCAGAAACTACACAGATGGATCATGAGTGGTGGTGAACAGCAGAAAGGGATTATGGATGAATCTGTATTGTTCTAGCTGCTCCCCATGCCACCCGTCTCCGAGGAAAGCCTGACATTGATTAGATATTGAGCCAGGCTAATGCTGGCAGCAGATCCAGTGATGGTAACCTGCCTATCAATAGATCCTTCCACTGGGTTTGCAATTTTGATCTGCGCCCCAGACATCTGACGGATCTCATTGATTTTGGCGCCTTGACGCCCGATTATGCAGCCAATCAAATCGTTTGGAATGGTGAGTTCATGAGAAGTAGTCTGAGCAGATGCATCCAAACCTGCACTGAATCCGGTGTTGCCATGCGTCATGGGGAAATGAGACTGTTGCATTGCCAACTGGTGCAGCTTGGTCAAATCTGGCTGTGGAATGGCATACTGTCCTTGAATGGTATAGGCCTGACCACCTGCAAAGATGACCGGGGAACTGGACGGCTTGGGCCAGTATGGGATAGTCACGCCCTTCAGAGGGGACTGGGAGAGAGTCTCCAACATGACCATGCAGATCTGTTTCACACACTCTGATGGATTGCGGAGTGCCAGCAATAGTGATGGCCTGCTCAGTTGAATTGGGGAGCATATCCCCTGCCACCTGGACCTGAGCCCCTGTACTCTCTCTTATTTCCTTGATCTTGCAACCACCTTTTCCAATGAGAGAGCCACACTGACTAGCAGGGACCACCAGCCTCAGGGTGACTGGGGGTCTACTGGCAGCTGTGCTATTGGTCATAGAGCTGCTAATATCCTCTTCCAGTTTGTCAATGATCATAGCAAAGGCTTTGAAGATGGCATTAGTGGGTCCAGCCAAAGTGATAATTCTCTCAGGACAATTTCCTTCTGAGATGTTGATACGTGCACCACTCTCTTCTCGCATCTTCTTAACTGATTCTCCTTTCTTTCCGATGATACTGCCAACTTCCTTTCCATGCATAAATAGCCGGATGGTGAGAGTGACATTTAATCCACCTTCAATCACACCGGTGTCCATGTTGAGCAGTGCTCTGGGGAGCTGGACTTTGAGTGGTCAAGTCTTTGGTCACTGGTGGGGGTGAAAGCCAAAAACTGCAGGCGCAAGGCCACTGAGGGGAAAAGGAGCGGGCGGGAAGGGGAAGGGCAGGAGGGGGGGGGGGTGGCGGAACAATAGGGGCGGGCAGGAAGGTGAGGTGCCCCCCCCCCCTGCGGGCGGGCGGGTGGAGGAGGTCTTTGTAGATTTTTGTGATCAGTCCTTTATCATTAGCGTTGTATGCAAAAATGTTCGCCCAGTCTGTGGGGTTTCTCTTTGTTTTTGTTATTGTCTCTTTTGCTGTGCAGAAGCTCTTTAATTTGATGTAGTCCCAGCTGTTTATCTTTGCCCTCACTATCACTGCTTTGGGTGATGTGTTTGTAAAGATGTCTTTGATGTACCATGGCACTGTATATTAATCCCCACTAGGATATAAGCTCCATGGAGGCAGGGGCACATCCCCCAGATTTGTGGCACAAAATACACTCTTGGTAAATATTATAAAATGAATGAATTTGTTCTGTGACATTTTAAGTTCCTTGAGAACTTAAAGAGAGTGTCTTATGCTCCATTTTCCTTTAGTATATTTGAAAACAACACTCTTTTAGAAAATTTTTAATATAGATAAGATATAAAAAGATAATAAGTGAAACATGAGTAAGCTGCACCTCTTTGTTAAGCCACCTAGTTTTCTCCTTTTTGAGCCAGTACCATTGTTTATTTGTGTGTGTGTGTATCTATCCTTCCAGAGACTTTGCATGTACATGTATTACATTTATGTCTTTAAAAACAAACAAGGGTGATAGAGCAATCTAAATTCCTTTTATATGGCTGCAAAGTAGTCTTCTGCATGGACATACCACATTTTTTTAAAACTAATGTTCTGCTGATGTATCTCTGTATTGTTTCCAGTATTTTGTTGTTTTGGAAAATACTGCAATGAATTTCCTTTGTTGTTTTACAAATGTGCTGGAATAGCTGTACAATAAATTTTTTTAAAAAAGATTTATTTTTTCATTTATTTATACAAGCACTGTGTACAGTCAGAAGTGCGGGAGGGTGAGAGAATTCACCAGAGCCAGAGCAGGGAGCAGAGCAGGCAGACTTAAGTACACTGCTGAGGGGAGCAGCGGGTCTGCATGCCTTGTGGGACCCTCCTCCGGTGGCCGGGGAGCAGCCAGCTTCGCAACCCAGCGCTCAACCCCTGCACCACCGGGGAGGCCCTACAATAAATTTTTAAGAGTGGAATTTCTGGTGTAGGGGAGGTATAGAAACTATGTTTCTAGTAAGGAAATCATTTAATTTTTTTTCTACCTTCCTAAATTCTTTAACTGGGGCCCTGTAAATTAGACCAACAAAAGACAGATTAACAAGAGAAAAACCAAGGGAAGCAGCATGTACAAATATGTAGAAATTACTCATTTGAGTGACTCAAAGGGTGGTTAAAATTTGATATTATATAATCCCAAAGAATAATAAATTTGTAGGGAAGTGACATGACCAAAAAAAGGACTCAATTTCTGGCTAATTGAGGGAAAGTAAATGTTTATGGGAGAACTAATAGAAGATAAGAGCTAGTTGGTAAAGTTTGTTATATAAACTCCTAGGGTGTCAGAGAGGGGAGGAGAAGCATAAATTTATATCCTGCTTTTAGGTAAATAGAGGAAAGCAAATAATTTCTTGTGTTGCCTTAGCTCACAATTACCCTTATACCAAAGTGACATATTCTGCTACCCTTCACTCACTCAGGTTTTAAATTTGTGTTTTAAATTTGGGATAAATTGGCAAGTTGCCTTTCAAGGAGAATTTTATCTGTTTATAATTCCAGTAATGATTTAATATAGAATTTTGTTCACATGCAGCTTAACATCCGTTTGGTCTGTTAAGAATTAAGCTATGTAGGTTGAAATACCCAAGTACTTTTAACTTTTTTAGGAAAGTACTTCCTACATCCTTAAAGTGTTTTCCACATCCATGAACAAATGAGGCATATAGGTATGCTAAATAATTTAAATTAATTTCACTTCTGAATATAGTCCTAAAAGGAGAAAATGTTTTCTGTTTGAAGCTCTAAACAGAGCCAAGTTACTCCTTTGAGATTGTCTCTCTCTTACCCCACTCCCCCCTTCCTGCCCTCCCTCCCATGTGTGCAAGAGAGGTAGATTATTTGCTCAGGATTACCCAGCTAATTAATGGTAGACCCAGTCTTGAGAAACTTTGTAATAGTACATTACATATATCATTTAAAACTGTGAATTCTTCAGAATGAGATTTCTGTTCTAAACTATTAAAGCTAGGGCCTCCCCGGTGGCGCAGTGGTTGAGCGCTGGGTTACGAAGCTGCCCACAGCCTCTGCAGCACTGGTTCGATCCCCAGCTGCTCCCCGGCCACTGGAGGAGGGTCCCACATGGCGCACAGACCTCTCCTGCCTGCTGTCCACTGCTCCCCTCAGCAGTGTACTTCGGTCCTTCTGCCTGCTCTGCTCCCCGCTCTGGCTCTGGTGAATTCTCTCACCCTCCCTCGCTTCTGACTGTACCCAGTGCTTGTATAAATAAATAAATAAATCTTTTTTAAAAAAATCTAATAAAAAATAAACTATTAAAGTTAAATTTTATTCAGTTTGGTCCTCAAAATTAGGTTCAATGAATTTTGACTAAGTCATTTTTCAGTTTTACTATTTGAATTTAAGTTTTTAAATAATAAATTTGTAATATCCAAAGAATAACCACTGGTATGTTAGAATCAAGTTAGTTTGATAAACATGTCAACTTTACCTTTGTGAACATTAATGTTGTATTCTGCTCTTCATTATCTTACTTAGGAGAGCACATGAATTGCTTTGGTTCTCTCCTCTCTGGAGAAATTTTATTTATTTTTTTTTTTTTTTTTTTTAAAAGATTTATTTATTTATTATTTATACAGATTGATTGATTGATTGATTGATTAATTGATACAAGCACTGGGTACAGTCAGAAGCGCGGGAGGGTGAGAGAGAATTCACCAGAGCCAGAGCGGGGAGCAGAGCAGGCAGAAGGACTGAAGTACACTGCTGAGGGGAGCAGCGGGCGGCAGGAGACTTCTGCGCGCCATGTGGGACCCTCCTCCGGTGTCCGGGGAGCAGCCGGGGATCGAACTGGCGCTGCAGAGGCTGCAGGAAGCTTCGCAACCCAACGCTCAACCGCTGCGCCACCGGGGAGGCCCTCTCTGGAGAAATTTTAGAGACTACTTTCATAGTGTTGAAAATGATAAGATAAAACAGATCGATTGTATAGATGTGCTGCAAAATTTAAAATACTGTTGTACAAACTCCTAAAAGAAAACATTTTTCTAATGCAAATCTTAAAACTCTAAATTCTAAACAAAATGTAAATCTAAACTTTATGTTCAAACACTATTGCCAAAGAATCTATCTGACCAAATAGAATAAGAAGCAGCAAAAAAAAAAAAAACTTTAAAAGACCAATAGCACCTTGCTAGTACATTGCTAATAAGGACTAATAGGTACTTAAACTGATGAAAGTGATTCAGACAACAACATATTAACCCCCTACTGTGCCCTGTTTTAAGCTGTTAATAGACATTAGCCTTTTAAAGAAAGACTAACACTTTTATATTTCTTTTCTAAGCCTTTGATAGATAGTGAACTATTTTTATTGCCTTTTGCTGCATTTGATTTTTAGAGCTCAGTGCATTTTCCAGAATATTTCTGAGAAATATTAATTCCTCTGAAAGTTTAGATGCCATGTATTCTTTTTAATATTTTAATATAATAAGATAATTTTGATTACTCTAAATTTTTCTGTAGCAATTATATGAGATGAATAAGTGCTGATACAGTTTTCACTGACAAAGAGAATGTTAGTTTAGTGAAAATTAGGTTTGTTTTTCTTTTTTTACATTTTAAGACCAGAATTTTTTCAAATTTTTTCCAGTAGTGATATATCTATGAAATTGTAAGTATTATAAATAATTGGTCATTTTCCGGAAATGAATTTAATTTTTAAAGTTTAAACTGTCACTATACATATGTATTTATGATCAGGGAGGATTTTTTTTTTTTTAATGTTCTAAGGAAACTTCAGTGCTCACCACCAGTCAAAATGGTAACCTAGGTTTTGTTTAGGTAGACTGCTTTTATATCACTTCTTTAAAAAACAGATTAGTAAATAGTTTTTATAAGTGAACATGATAACCACTACAGTACAGAAATGCCATAATAAATAGTTTTTGGAAGTTTAATGTTTCAAAATAAGTCCTCACTTAACGCTGTCCATCTGTTCTTGGAAACTGCTGCTTTAAGCAGAATGACATATTATGAAACCAAGTCTTTGAACAGTTATTTCATTCAACATCAACCTGATTTTTTCTCATCAACTTAATAACAAAATGATGTTGAATGAAATGTTATTTGAGAGCCTTCTGTATAAAGCTAATAAAGATTTGAATTGGTTTTAAGGGCAATTTTATTTTCAAAACACTGATTCCATGACACAAGTAAGTGTTGAGCAGTATATTGACTAGCCAGTTAAATAGTTGACCAAACTAAATAATGTATGTGCTTTGGATAAATTATGACTATACAAAAAATTTGGGGCTTTGGAATTTCTTTAAAATAAAAACATAAGCATAGTACCTAATTTGTGATCCAAATAATATGTTTTTAGTGACTACAAAAATGAATGGTATATACACAAAGTATATTTCTATTATTTCTCATGCCTATTCAGAACCAAGGGGAAAAAATGAAGCAGAGTGTTCATGAGAGATTGTCTTACACAGTTTGTGGATTTGTTATTATGACTATCAAGTAAATATCTTATAAGTAGGTTTAGACATAGCAGTTAAATTTATTACTGGTAGTAGTATTGGGTATGGCTTTTTTGCTAGGATTAATTTTGCTTTTAAGATCACATACATATTATACTAATCAGTCTTTTATCCTGGAATAGATGCTTCCTATTAAGCATCTATTAAAATAAGCTTAATTTTATCATAACATTTTACTATTAAGTTATTTAAATGTCCTACTTGGCTGGAATTTTGTTTTCCTGAATTAGAAGTAATTGAAACAGGTGTTGAGTGGC